CATCTACAGCAGTGGTGGAGGGGTCGTCGGCGGTGGCAGTGGTAAAGGGTCGGCGTTGGGGCTCGTTGGGATGACGAGACGAGGAGCCACCGCTGCCACTGGGGTTGCTGCTACTACTGCTCCTCATTGCCCTGATCTGGTCCACTTGCCCCGATCTAGCTGTCACGCCATCAGGAAGCTAGCGGTGGGGGTGTCATGAGAGGAACATCCGTCAGCTCCCTCGAGCTTCGTGACAGTTAGGTGATCAAGGGGTCATCGCTAGGGCTTGCTAAGCGACCACAAGAAGAGGAGCGACCGTGATTGCCAAGGCTGACTAGGGCTACTGCTGCTGCAGCTCGACACTCGAGCTCAAGTGCACCGCCGATGGGGCTACTGCTGTTGTTCCTTGCTGCCACGATCTCGCCTCCACAATGTCGGAAAGCCAGCCACGGCCCACGGGGGCATTGTCAATCTAGCGGTTTCACGTAAGCTGACCAATTTTCGTGAAATTCCATCGGTTTTTGAACCCTGGTTTTCACTGGCAAGCCCCAACGCCGATGTCACGCCCCGATTTTCTTTCGGGGATTAAAAATCATTTAATAATGCATTTCTAGATTTTACATTAAATGTTAAAGCAATTTATCAAGTAAAGTTAATGTGGGAAATAAAATTTCCTTTAGAAATCATGACGGTGAATATTTTTTTAATATTCTCCATGCCCTAAAATACTCTCTGGAATTTTCCATGAATTTTTAGAGCTCAACAAGTAATTTTAATAATACAAACATCATTACAAACAAGAAATGTTTCATGCCAGTCCACTCTTCCTCCCTCGTCCTCGGCCTCGGCTTCATTCTACTCCCCACGAGCCCAATCCAATTCCTCATGCCTAGCCTAGCTCGCCTCCTCCCCCATTGCGAAGTCTACTACACCTCCCTCCTCCCTTGAGCGCCGACAAGTAGGGCCCACCTATCAGCTCCAAACCCTAACCTCTAGCCGCTCGGGCCGACACCGCCGACCACTTCCCCCACGTCGCCATATCTCCCGCAAGCTCACGAGCCCCCTCCCCCCTCCCCTCTACCTCCTCCACCATCTCTCCTACTTTCCCTCGCAAAAATCACGCGGCGTAGAGCCACATGTCACCCACAACGCCGCACCCGCCTCCGCCGGCCATTGCCACATGATTCGACTTCTCCGCGAACTTCCCGCCACTTCCTGAGCTTGTAAAAAGGTTCATCGTGCCTCCCGCTCTCGTTTTACCCAATTCCTCGAGCTCGCCACGCACTCTCTCGCGCTTCCCTCACCACCCTCCAAACTCCGCTACCACCGCCGTATACCAGCCGTGCGCCATCGTGTTGTGCCGCCACCCCCACCGACTTCTCTGTGTCGTGCCGCACCTCGGCCATATCTTTTCCCACACCAATGGCTAGCGAAGCACCAATTCCATCATGAGCATCAAGCGTCGCTGTCGACCACCACTTTCGGTCGCCCCGTCTCGTTGCTCGAGGCCGCCTCCTACCGCCCAACCGATTCTATCGTCATCGCCACACCGTGTAGAAGCTCGGTCGCCACTCCAACTCTTCAAACCACCGCCCGAGTGCCATCTTCACCGCACGCCCAAACCGCGGCCGCTCACTCCCACTTCTAGTCACCCGCCACCGGCTATTGGGGCATCGTCGGCCCACTCCACCCCCTTCCCTAGCTCCGCCATGTAAGACTACCTCAGCCACCCCTCTGCCTTCACCAAAAGCTATCGGGACTCCATCCCCTTCGCTCGAGGTGATATTCTTATTCTCACCAAAGCCATATGATTGATCATATTGATAAACCTTATATATATGCTACTTGACATTACATTGAGTTTTATCAAATTATGTGACCTTAGTGAGATACTTTTCTTGCCTATTTGATCAAGATTCACGCGCACCCACCATATATGCTTGACCTCTGCACTGTAAGTTAGCAAAAACATGTCATCCATCCGCCAAATAAACACTCCACAAAAGTGCCTCTCCCAAAAGCTTTGCAAAATGTCTCTACAAGCATATGAGAAAAAGAGAAAAGATGCATACTCACAAAAGGAGGTGCAATCATTCTCAAAGACTTAATGTTGAAAGAAATAGCCTGTCTCCAAACAAAAGCAAAATGAGAGAGCAACAAAATTAGAGTGCCACTTACCACCACATATCCATACACTATGCACATCTTGATCAAGTTTGTATGTCTTGTTTTCTCCATGGATTGACTCTTTGATTTTGCAATACTAATTGATACCACGCGCTTTGCTGTGGAATATGTGGATGAATGCATGTTATACATTATAAAAATGATCGAGTATATGTTTAAATAATGTGAAAATGATGTGAAGATGGTGATTTGACATTGCTTGCATGCTGAGTTCTAAACATACAACAAAATTACAAATGATATGTCATGTTAGCATGAGATCTAAAATACTCTAGATAATAATTGTTAGTCGGTGATGATGTGGCACACTTGCATGTTGAGCTTTAGGAGTTAGTGGGTACTAACTATATAGAAAGTATAGATATGTGATGTAAGTAATGTTTTGTTCTTTCCCCTACCCTGAGCTCCACATAATCCTTATTAGAAGTAGGATAAGAAAAAAAACGCAAAATCAATACCTTGGTGAAGAATTATACACATTGAGTGATCCGAGACAAACAATTAAGGAATAAAGTAGAGTTATGTTTTTATGAGCAAAACGAAAAACCCAATGTACTCATCAGGAGGAGTGGAGGTAACTTGAATCAAGACCGTTCCGTTCTTCAATCACCCAAGATGACGTGGTAGATACTTCAAGATTCACAAGTACAAGTATGGCTTGGAATAATTATTATGCAGGTATCATTACAAAGAGAATCATATCTTTGTTGTGATCCATGATCTTTACTCAGTGACGAGTAAAAGCTAAGTGTGGGGGTGTTGTTAACAGTCCTTAAGTACCAGATCTGATTGTGAATTCATGCATAAAAGCAAATGAAAGAATATAAAATAGATATCAAACTTAGAGGTAGTGGTTATTACTAACCATTTCCATAAGTCTTGGTGAATATTTGTATAAAGGTGAATTATGAACAAAAACCACCCACCATGCGAAGAAACATACCTCTGGCCAATTAGAAGCGAGTACATGGATTGAAGGGTTCACAAACCATAGCAAAACTGACATATTTGAGGATAACCATCGTGCACTGTCATGAGGGCCCACTGGACAGTGACCCAACCGAAAGAGAGGGTGAATGGCGGTGCCAAGGGTCAGCCAAACCACCCTTGTGCCCATTCATCCACACCTTCCACTTGGAGGATGGTGATTGTTTCCCTATAGCGGTTGTGGGTGAACCGACCTCACAACCACCATAGTAACAACCACTTGACACTATATAAGGAGGAGAAACTCTCACTCTCAAATTACACAACTTGAGTGGAGTACAACTTACTTTCATATTTAGGCTACTTTCTTGTAGAGTTAGAATGTAGGAGGAGAGTGAGGGGAAGCTTTGAAAGGAGTGCTCCGGTTGTCACAGTACTCTTCGGGGGAGTTCCGATGAGTGCCAGAGATGTCGACACTCTCTCAACTCTCAAGTGGAGTCCCGGAGGAGTGCTGGAGCTGTCGGCACTCTCTCCTTCGACTTGTACCTCGATGGATGTTTTCTTCAATAAAATAAGTATTTGAGATTTCTTTATGGTATTTACTTTTCTTATTTAAGTAAGGTAGCTTCTCATCATTGTGGGCTCGTCGCTTCGTATTTATACTGAGCACTCTAGTACTAAGACTCTGGATGAAAAAGGAAATTCTTGGTCGAGGCTAGAGTAGTAATCGATAACGTAGATGTGGTGTCTAGGTTAGACATTACCTTCATTTATTGTGTGCTCCACAGAAAGTGAGACAGGCGGCAAGTGATGATAGTCATTTCCACCCTTCGTGTTACTCCACGTTTGGGTACATCATAGAGCTATAAGTCGGACTCAGCCTGACAAACCAAAGGAAAGTCGGTGCCCAAAGCAACTGATAGAATTGTACCTTAAATTAATTAAGATAATTAATCCATAAGAATCATCTCTATCGTAAGCCTACCATTTAATTGTTTTCCTTAGTTGAATCATGTTCTTAGATTGTACTCACATGTTCCTTGTGATTCGATATCCTTAGAATATTCCAATGTGAAGTGCTACAGCGATATTCATGCGGTTGCGGATTTATCTATGACCGTAACAAAATACCAACATCGTCGGACTCCAGCCATCACTTATTGTAGTTACCAGGCATCCCCTTCTCCCTAACCCCTCCCAACCTTTCCTAGGTCTTGTGCGTCCCCGGTCACCGCTCCCCGCTTGTTGACCTCCGCGGGAGCGCCGTCTTCATCGGTGTCCCGAAGCATCGCTGCCAATCCTCTCCGCCGACATGCTCCCTTTGTCACTTTGCCCGCCCACGCTCAGTGAGATCCCCTCCCTTTTTTCCCCTTCCTTTCCACCGTCTCCCGTGCCCGCCGCCGCACCTTTGGTCATCGCCGGTGGCAGTTGGGCGCCCACCGCTGCCTCCCAGTTGGCAGGCCGGCCGGGGGCGCCACCCCTTTCACTTGCTTTTAGAGGTCCCTCATGAGTGATTGTCTTACATCTCTCAGATTTTGCTTAGCTTATAAAAAAATTTGTATTATGGCTATCTAACCTAACAATCTTTTCCTCAAGAGATGTGAAACTGACAGATGCTGGCGGTCAGCCCCAACTTATCTTTGCCTCCCAACCAATGTGATCGGCGCAAGAAAAAAAAAACAGTACCTACAATTCTATTGATCACATAGCTATACACCGTATTTGGTTTGTATGGCCATATGGCCATCTTAATCTTCGATTCCTAGTATGTTTCCCCAACTATGTAAGATCACATCAACTCCAAACCATGCTTGCTGCTAGGGCAAAAGGTGCATCTACATAAAAACACTTATTTTTGCTGTACCGGTATCCATAGAAGCAAACAATCGTTTTTTCAGAAGACCACAGCAACAAACGAGCAATTAGCTGGTTGAATAATATAGTCAACGGTAACACTGGGAATACATAACAAAGGGATATACAAAACATTGTATCCGATCCCGATGGCTAGGCCTTGTTTCTTGTAAAACTCTAGGCGCATCTGACAATATATGGTCATTGGTCAGCTATAACAGCCGGTCAGTATTCTTCAGAAAGGTTTAAATCGAAACAAATGAGACAATTAGCAGGTCAGCATATAAGGAGGCAACAATTGGCTCCTATCAACAATTTAGAACACATGAAACAAGGGAAATATTTTAACCTCGCACCAAAACATAAATTTCTGCGTATGCCGATCTCTTTCACCAAAATCTGTGCTTAACAGCCGCCTTCTCTTCAATAATGGGCAAATGGCAATGCAACCATGATCACCAACCATTACACCCAAGCTATGTCGAAGATAGTCTCAGCCAGCATTACAAGCTCAGTGGAGATATGCTGGTTTTTAAGCTTTTGCTTAGTGAGGCAGCAACTGGTGCATGAGTCGATTAATCATCTCATAACTGGTGAACGTAATGACAGCATTCGGGGTTGTCCTTAGCAAATTCGTAGCACAACCTCTGTAGAAGCCGGGAATTCCCTCCTTCTGATACACTTGCTTGATACAGTCGATTACACCGGTGTAGTGCACAGCACCATGACGAGCACGACCTTGTTCTTGCAATTTAGATCGTACAACCTGCCAATATAAGCCAATTACTATAACTGAAAATAAAACGTAAGGGGTTTTTCAAGTTCCTAGCTACTGGTGCTCCAAAAAGAAGTCAAGTAAATTCCACTAGAAAGTGATCTTTTCTTCATTAGGTTAGTTCATCTTCTCTTTCACTAAATAGTGTCTGAAGGAGGTTATTTATTCATCTACGCCTCTCTGCCTCTCTGCTTATTTATTCACTTTAGAATAGATTTGACATTTTAAGCAACAACATTCCTTGCTTTCCTATTTTAGCAACAACCCAACTCACTTTCCCATTTTAACAAACATTTCACCAATCCAAAATATAGATACCAAAACATGTGACCAAATTGAAAGAAATAAAGTGTCAACTTCAGAAGAGATCAATGTGTCTATTCAGGTATCTGTAGCAGGAGACACATGTATTCAACAGAAAACCATTTAGTACTCAAAAGAAAAGGTATTACGAAAAACATAGGACCAACAAAAATACCTCATGGGGGTATGTTATTATTGAGGCCGCTACTTTAGATCCTGATGAACAAATAGCTAATTTTCCTGGGCTGAGCTTATCGACTGTAGTGTTGTCTGAAAAGCATGTGCACATCTTTGTAAATCTTCAAGCCATGAAGACTCAGTCTTTTACTCAAACTTCGTATAGTAAAAAAGATTTTTTACCTCTTTTAGCAAAGTAAAGCTTCACATTCTCGTAGACTGGGAGCTGGATGGCCACATGAGTAACCCCAGCTAGAGAAGGAAGAAGACCACTATCATCATATAAAACAGAGATCAAATAGACAACATATATTTTAATGAAAAGAACGAGAAACGAACTGACCAAGACAGTATGCAATATGATTAAGGTGAACCTACCTATACAATCCACGGATACCTTCTTCTTCTGCAATCCGCCGTAAAGCAGACCAAATGCTTGTGTAAGGTACCACACCTGTCCTCATCCCTTGTGTCTACAAGATGTAAATAGAGTACATAAATAATTTTAAACATCATCCAACGTGACACATATATACATGTAACAATTGCTATAAATAAGATCCTATGCCCAAAATTATGCAAAAATGATTAAAGAAACAAGCAGGGTCACGTCAGGCTGTAATTATCAGGTCAAAATATACTATGCCAAATAGTTTTTCAATCATTGGTTATAAACATTCATGCAATTCACAAAGATTTCAATAGTTTAGTGGGCAGCATTCTCAGATTTATTTTAATTATGTTGAATCATTGATAACAGCGTTCATGTAATGACAAAGTAACTAGAATTCACCCTATTCTCAGAGTAATGATTTCTAGACAGAAAACATGCTTCAAACAGGTGGTTATTTTTACTAATTTTGAATGGACTCATATTAACTAAATGATTAGCCAACCCTGTCTCTCACTTGTGAGTTAGTTGTCTAGGAATGAGGTTTGACTCTTCAATCTAAGGGAAGTTTCTGATCAAGACAACATCAAAAATAAAAAGCTCAATGACATGTAGGACCCACGTGAGTCAATGACATGTGGGTCAGGATGGCATATCTCAAATTTTGTAAAATTATAATGGCACAGTTACAATTTTCCCAAAAAAAGGGAATTATATGGCCCATTGCCACACTTCCACAATCACATGAAATATGAGTTTCAATGGCTATTATTAGGTTTTGTTGTCACAGTTGTCATATACTAAACATCCTTCACATGTCCAACAAGTCATATCCATAACGATGGGACAGTTGCAAGGGATCAATTTGTTCGCTAGAGACTGCGTGCCACAATTTGACAAGAAAAGTGCAGTTGGTGTACCTACTAACCAAGCATGACATCTTCTATAACAAAGCAAGAGAAGACTGGCAGCTTGTTCATGAGAACTAAGGGGTATAATTGAATACCCCAAGAAGGCTTTTATGCATGCTTGTCTAAAAAAAGTTCTAGTCTAGTTTATTGAATGGTGCAAACACAGCAAAACATCTCCTACGATGGCTTGGCGTAGCTGCCAGGCTGGCCTGTAACCTCCTTGTTTCTTAGAACCATATTGCTTGTGATAACACACAAATGCAATCTCTTTGCTATTAAAATGTGCACCTATTAGTTATTAATAACATATGTTCCAAATCCTCACACTTGAAAATTAAGGAGGGGATGGGGGAAGGAAAACCAAATCCCTTCATGATGTTAGTTAATCCCAGTTTCTCCCTCTCTAGCCAAGTTGTTAGTTACTGACTGACTGACTGACTGACTAGCGCTGATTTCTGGAACCATGGTTACATCTACTGCACTAGTGTTGATGCATTGAAGTCTCAGAATCGAGAACTACCCAAGATAGAATTGCATGCCCAATATGTGGCCCAAGAAAAATGTTAACAAAATGTGTTGAATACAGTCGTTCTCAAATTCCATCGGGAACATCATCATTTTGAAGTTCTCCATGCATGGAAGAATTAGTTAATAAATGTCTTACACAGGAAATGCTGCAGCTCAACAGCTCATATATAGTCATATCATATTAACCCAAACAAATGTATGGCATTTCACGCATTTCAGGTCTCTAGGATGGTAAGAAATACAGATTCTGGCACATGATCAAAACCCTGGAACATTGTAAATTTGTAAGCATTTCTCTGATGATTGGCGCAGCCACCTTCACAATGTTGTTGACACCCCATGGAACACCTAAGTTCTGTTCTCATAAAAATCTTAAGTTCTAACTAGCAACATCAAGCATCCTCATATCTGCCCCTAGGATTCACAAGTAAGGCCTAATACATATATCCATCATGTACCAAGCAAGTAGCAAATACAACGTATAAGCAGTATATACTACTGTGAGCCAAGTTGTATCACCATCTTCTACAAACTTGCCGGATATTTATTAGTCTCTCATCTCAAGAAGAACCATAGCCGCACCCCCACCCCCAAAAGTAAGGTAATAAAATTGCAAAGTCACAAATCTATAGAAAGTTGTTTTGAAAATAAATACCATATAGGGAAAAATAAACAGATATAAGTTACTACGATATAGCTTACTTGTAGCCTAGTCTTCACAACCCACAATGGATTAGTTGCAACAGCTGTTGCAATCCCGGCACATGAAGCAGCTAGAATATTTGCTTGGACAGACAATTCGCCAGTGTTATCACCTGCATAATGAACATAAATGATTAGGAATTGGTACCGGAGTTTGTACTATGATTCTCTACATTAACAAAATTATGACAAGGCATGCAGACAACAGTTGATGCATCAAATATATGTTATTAATATAAGTAATCATCCCTGAATTAAAAGCATAACTATGACCATAAATCAAAACTAGAAGACATCTGCAGCTGTAGGACTATAAGGACTAGTTAAGAGAAACGGGAGGTGGCTACTGACAGAAAGAAGTAACTTTATTTAACAACTGACAGAAAGAGGCAGTTTTATTTGGACATATGTATATATACTAGTGCCAACTAAAGGACAATAATGTTAACACGTAAGAACCACAGGCGCAGAAAGACAGTGCAAAATACGGAGTATGTAATAGGACAAAAAAAGACGAAGTAATTGAGTTTTGTAATTGTCAGCAACCACTAGCAAAAGCAGTCAGTGCAATTAAACCAATAAATTACCATAACAAGCACGTACTGGTAGATATAGCATTGTTATCTTTGTCCATGAAAAAATTATGTTCCCACCTCTGTAGGGTAGAGCCTTAGTTATTAATAAGCCTATGGTATTGAGTAGAATTTAGGATTATGTGTGCGCGCATGTGCGCACAAGACAGGTATAGAGATGAGGCTTAACTCCTCATTTGCTTATGTGCATAAAGTCATCGGACTCTCAATCGAAGTTTCTCATTTCCATGATTTTACAACTATAATTGCACGAAACAATAAATGACCCCCAAGCACACTCTGCACCCTGTTAAGTTTCCAGCAAAATTATAAAATATAGGATCATGATCTAGTTTGCCCATAGTTTTGTCTCCTATCCTATAACAGTCCTTAGTTGTAAATATATTAACTGTTACATATATGCTCTTCATGAAGTAACAAACTAGAAAAACCCATTTTACACCTTATATACATGTCTAAATAACAATTTAACCTCAGTTTGTACTACATCTTCGAAAAAGGAAATAAAGAGTAGACTGAAATAATGCAATAACTACAAATAAAGCAGAGATATAGACCGCAAATGCTGCAATAACTACAGAGTACTTGACTTCCACAATGGCTTGAGTTGTGAAAGCATGCATTTTTCATAAAAATGAACTTATAATACAGGATGGAGAGCATATATGAGTTATCGGATCATATTAATGCACCAAAATATACACCTGATAGATCTAATAGAATCCACAGTTCCACATGACTCAATTAGTCTTTCCTAGTTTGATTCAACTTAATTCTCTTGGTTTCTTTAGTGTAATTGCATGGACATCTGCACTTAGTACTTTCCTTGATTTGTTTGGGGATGTGAATTGTGAAATCTACAGATAGAAGGCAACCACATTTGAGAGAAAATGATCCATATCTGGTCAGGATCACCAGACACTTTAGGTAGTTAGGTATATATAAGAGGGCAACATATCCTATGCACACAGGCCCTCACGTGTACACACGTGCACACCAACTAAAAAATGTCACCAAAAAATCTAGAAAAAATCATACACATACTTTCAATTGTATTACACCTAGGGTTAAAATCTTAACATCAAATTCATTATATTTTAGCCGTAACAAAAAAAACAAAAAATCTGACAGTTTTAAGGTTGCAATTTTGTCAGAATTTTATCTTTTTTGTTATTCTCTATGTAGAATGAATTTGAAGATGCGACTTTGCACGTAGATGTAATACTATTGAAAGTACATGTATGAATTTTCCTAGAATTTTTTGTGATAATTTTTAGTTGGTGTATATGGTGTGTACACGCGAGGGCCTGTGTGCATAGGATACGCTCCCATGTAAGAGTGCTGTGATATATCTGCAGTTCTGAGCTGTGGAACATATTCTACCAAGAATATTTACCATGTATGGTCAAATGTTGCTATTATGTGATTCTAAAAGGAAGGTTGTCATTTTATCGATATCCCAAAAGGAGGAGGTTATCGAAAGCAAATCCAGTGGAGAAGCAAGTCTTAGCGCCAGCATTCCGGAGACAAAAACACTGTTTTAACATGTGATCAACATAACTCCAAAAGGGGCACCTATCAACATATAGTGATAAAATAGGTATCAAAATGCTGGACTCTACGGTGAGTGCATAAGCCTCTCCAGTCAAATATACAGTTAGTCAAGTATGAAATATCAGTTATAGTATCATCACATATAGATAAGCTTTTGTACTTTTAAAGAACATAACAAGTCTTTAGCTGAAGCGCTTTAAATGATTTCCTGATACAGGGAAAGTTGGACACATTATGCAAACAGTAGATCCTCGGGAAAATTCCTTATAGTTCACTAAGCTGTTGTGTTAAACATGATTTAATGCTAATTCTTTTGTGAGCATTTCAAGGAATACAAATATCTAATATAGTGGCATGTCAGAATTGTCCATAGCATTCCCTGAAATGCTCAAGACCTTGAGATGCTTGAGTTAACTGAAAACAAAAACAAAGATGGAAACACAATAGAATCTAATCCAACACATGATTCCCTTAAATAAGGATTTGATGCTTCTGCCCACCTTTCTTCAATATTTTACACATAAGCACAAAAACTGACAAATCTAGACCAACATTGGTAAAGCACAGTTGTGTTTAACCTTGAGAATGAAGAAGACCCTTCAAGTGATTATAAACTGAAAACGTAACCTGCAGAGTGCAACAGACAAAACATTATATAAGGTGTGATTCAAAAAATATATATCAAAGGCAGAGATAACAAAAATGAAGAGAATCAGACAGATATTTTGTGTGTTTTCTCTGTTAATACATTTCACGTGTTACATGTTTCAAACATAAATCACGGAATCAGCAAAAACAATCAATTAACTAGCATCTAAACAAAAGATCAGCCACCACTAATAGAAACAAAAACGCCAACAGCACACAGCCCACGAGCCATGGCTTCAGTGCACAGAATTGTTTCTTTCACTACAGTGTACGCAGTCAGAATAGCTGAGCATGCATATTTATGAGATTATGAGTCAACAGAATCAAACACACCAAACAAGCATCAATCATAAAGCAATATTTAGCCTGCAGTTTTGAAGCACAATTAGATGTTCATAGGGAGTATGGACTATGGATTAGACCACATATATATTGAAAACCTCCTGTATCACATTCTGAACGTGGCATATATTAAATTCTATTTGATGACATACTTATTGAAGAGGATGGGAATCACTGATTTTTATCATAAAAAGGAGAGCATCAAATTTGCCAGATCTTCCTCCACAAGTCACATGATACTACTCCCTCCGTCGTATAATATAAGGGATTTTAGAGGGATGTGACACTGCCCGGATTCATATTACTAGGATGTGTCACATCCCTCCAAAATACCTTATATTTTGGGACGGAGGGAGTATATTACTATTAAGCGCCAAGAGAAAACAACCGACTCATGTTTCCCCTTAAACAATTGAGTGCCAACAGTTCAACCCTGACAGTATCTCCCACACAACCTACTAAAACAAATTCACTTCTGCAGCCAAAATCTCAACAAACTCCTCAAAATCAATATAAATGTCCATACATATAGCTAGATCTGTAATATTGAAATTGGTTTTTATTGAATCGCAATCACAAGTGGATCTAGATAGTAAGCGAAATGCATTAAAGTGTTCAAACAGCAAACACGCTTCGTGGAGATGTACATCTGTTATTAGGCATTGCACGGAACATGTATTCAATTTAGTGAAATCACATAAAACATCAGCATTAGGCGTTTTCAAAACTCATTGTTTATAGACATGTAGCAAGCTATCATCTAAAAGTGGATTAAAGAAATTAAAACAATCCTGTAATGTTACTAACTGTATTTGTACATTAATGATTACTCACATCCTAAGTTGGAAATAATGCTACTGTTTACTGACTGACTGTATAATGTTAATGATTACTTACAGCCCATGTTGGAAACAATGCTACTATCGTTGGTGAAAGGCCACGATACAACCCAGGCAGGCCTTCATTTTTTAATATGTGCTGAAAACCTGAAATTATTACCCTACCTAATACGGAAGAGAAACAGAAGTCAGAAAAAAAGATAAATGGAGCAGATATATGATGAATAGATGAATTATCAAGAGATAAAATAAGACTGTTTGAGAAGGATTAAAAATTAGTAATACATGCTCAAGAGAACAATACTTTCTGAGTATCCAAAATTAATTTATAATTGTACTAGATTGATCATCAACATACAGAGATAAGCACTATATTGTTCAGCATGTTAAACTAAGATGTCTATAGAAGTGTGAAAGGTTTTATGGTATTAATAGTTGTGCCATTGGAGTGACACATATGCACAGGACATATAGTTCCCCTTCAAACAGAGAAATGTGCATGTTTGTAATGCAAACTTGATGAGGATAACAGGTTTTTTTTTTCATTTCAGATTCAGATAAAAACATTAGAATATACAAATGAACATGCAAGTCTTTTCAAACTTAGCGAATCATATGATTTATATGAATGCTAATATGCCTTTGTCAAAATATTCAATATATGGAAATATTTTATAATATTTTACTCAAGACATCCTTCCATTTTGCAATATTTGTCCACAGCCCACTTTACACAGACCAAGAAAGCACAGTCTAAGAAAACATAATGAAAATGACTGTGGATATCCCTAATATACTCATAATACAGACAATTTATCTTTTCAAAAATATTTAAGTAGGTGGGAAATGCATTTAAGTAGGGGCAAAATTTGCAAGAAGTACATCTTGATCTCTGCAATGGACAAGTATTTTGAAACAGATACTCCAGAGATAATGGGACAGATACTGTGAAATGGAGGAAATAGTGCAATGTCAAAACAATCTTATATGAAATGTTGCATTGGTTGACTATAAGAGATTCTGCAGCAGCAGCTACATTACGCACTGCATGTGCAGCATTGCAGGGAAAAAGACTTAGCTCACAATTTCATGTGCCTAATTTATAACTATTCAAGCATACAAAAGCATGGATTATTAGATTATCTATTTTGGCACTCCTACCCTTCCATTCCTCAATTTTGACAGTAGTACTTCAGTTACAAGCATGCATTGAGCTCCTAATCCCCTTTATCAACCCCAACACGTCAGACCAGCCCCCCACCCCATTAAGCGCCAACTTTTGCAATCAAACCATTGTCCAGCATAACTGGTATAATGCAAACATATAGGCTTTCATCATGTTCTTTAGTATCGCAACGCGACAAATTGATCTTACAGCGAGACCAAAACAGGCTAACTCACAAATTTCATGGGGCAACAAGCCCAGAGAAAGCGTATGGACAGAGTGCAAAGTAGGCAAACGGTACGTATAAACCATGCATCAGAAGAGAAGAGAGCTAGTTACCAGGTGGCGCCGTGCTAGAGAGGTTGGAAGGGAGGCCGTACACCTGCAGCCGCGTCTTGATCACGTCCAGCGGGCACAGCACCGTTGCGGAGATCACACCTGCGCCCAACACAGCCACCAAACGAAGAGCAATCAGAAGGATCAAAACCCCACGCCACCATCCCGAGACCGAAGCCAAAAAAAACCCACCAACCCTGGCTAGAACCATACGCAGGGGAGAGCAGAATTACCAGCCGAACCGCCCGCGATGGCGTTGCAGGCCGCCTCCCGGACCATCACTCGCGCGCCGTTACCTCCCCTGCCCTCCGACATCGCGGCGCCCGAGAAGCCGCGGGGGGAGGCAGCCCAGGAGCTAGGAAGCTGCAGCAGACAAGAGAGGGACGAGACCGTCTCCCTCGGTCAGGGCGAAGTCGACCACCGGAAATGGCGGCGGCGGCGGCGGCGGCGGAGGACGCGCTCCGTCCCCCGCGGTGGGAGGCCCCGGCCGGATCCGGGCGGGCGGCCGGGCGGGATGCCACGCGCCGGGCGACGGGGGGAGCGCCGCCCGCTCCCTCAACGCGGCTTGGGACACTCGCTTGGGAAACGGAAACTGGGGCCGCAGGGAGGCGGCGGCGGCAGCGGCGGAGGCGGAGGGGAGGGGCGACGCGGCCGGCGGTGTGGGAGGGGAACGGTCGAGGGGGGGACGGGGGAGGGAGGCGTCGGCGGCGGGGGGAGTTGGAACTTGGGAAGAGGGGGAAGGCGTGATGATTGATCGGGTGGTGGGGGGGAGGGGGGGACGTGACGGGTGCGTCCGTCGATGTTGCTGCTCTCTTGGAGTCTCGATCTGCTGCTGCTGTCTCAGCCAGCGGGGGGCTGAGCGGCGGAGCTACACGCGTCCGTCCCCTAGAGCGCTCGCTTAGCCCTGAGCTACCACGCCGTCTCGCGCACAGGGCTCGGTGTGCGAACTGCCCCGGTCCATCGTGACTAAAGGCTGTGTTCGGGCCGACATGCAAAACAAAACACCAATTATTATATGATTAATTAAGTATTTATTATTTTTTTAAAAAAAATAAATTAATATTATTTTTTATGCAACTTTCGTATAGAAATATAGCTCGGCTCATTGGAAAAAAGCAGAGCTACAATTTTAGGGCCTCGTTGGTAATCAACATGCTCGGACAGACCTTTTCCAAATCAGCCAAAGCAATTCCATTGGTTGGCTTATTTTGTTTGGATGGATTTGATGAAGGATCTCCTGCTTATACTTGGTTGAAAATACTCAGATGGGCTTTGGCAGTTTGGCTGAAAATCTTCAGCCCAAGGGTCTCACCGGATGGCTTGTTTGGTTGAGGCTTGGGCTAAGACTTTTCAGCCAAACAAGTGGGACCCGCAAGGGAGTTGGATCATCAGCAGTGGCTAATTATGTGAACTCTCTAGTGACCATACACAAAAAATAAAAATCCCAAAACCACCGGCCACAGAAAATCCTTCACCAGCCATATAAGCAAAATAACCCAAACAATGGTTTTTCTTTGGCTAAATTGAACTTGGCAGATTTGGCTGATCAGCCAAAGCTTCATGCCATCCGATGAGGCCTGAAATAGCTATCCGATGAGAATCTTAGTTTGAGCATATAGCCCTTGAGACGTTCATTGGTTGCCATATTCAATCATGCAAAAGGTAACTGTCTGTTGTAAACATCTTAAGGTTTTGCTAGTTATCTAGCTCGCACTTGCTCGTATATCAGATACAGCGTGTCGTATATTTAGTTGCTTGAACATTGACCTGAGCCAGAATGAGCAGTTACAAAACTGCCTTCGTAGCTAGGTTGAGCAGAAAAGCTTGAATCGAGCTCAACTCATCCCGCATGAGCCCATGTAGGTGTGGGGTTACGCAGGGGCGTGTGGATACAAAAGGCTAGGAGGGGTTTGTGCCTCCGCTTCATTTGCTCATTTCCATCGACCCAATCCGTTGTTGTCTCCATCACTGCACCTGTAAAGCCTCTCGCCCTCACTTTGAGTAGCTGCAGCGAGCAGCCATAATCCTATGACAGCCAAATATTCCCTTTGTCCATGAATATAAGGTATTATGCCTAAAAGAGCACAAATTAAGAAAGAGTAAGTAGTACATCTGTGTACATCATTGACACAATAAACAAATTTGTAGTACACTAGTATTAGTATGTTTTCTGTAACTTTTTCCCTTTTTGACATAGGGCATGTTTAGATCCTGTCAAAATTTTACACCCTGTCACATCGAATATTTGGAAACATGCATGGAGTATTAAATATAAATAAAAAAATAACTAATTACACGGATTGTGTGTAAATTGCGACACAAATCTTTTAAGCCTAATTGCGCCATGATTTGACAATGTGGTATTACATTAAACATTTGCTAATGACGGATTAATTAGGCTTAATAAATTCGTCTCGCGGTTTACAGGAGGATTCTGTAATTTGTTTTGTTATTAGACTACATTTAATACTTCAAATGTGTCCATATATCTGATGTGACACGTCAAAATTTTACACCCATGAATCTAAACAAAGCCATAGACGGGGCGAAGTAGTATGAGTACTAGATGTTCTTTGTATTTCTTTAGTTCTATGTACATCATATTGGTATGTTTTTTTTTGAAAACGATTCATGGATGGTGGATGGCTGACAGGCAGTGCCTGCTTGCTTTGGGAGGAGACAAATCCACTATATTTATGGACACACCAAGGGAACAAAATCCCTTATATTTATGGACAGAGGGAGTATGGCACTAGCGTCTAGTGAGCTCGGGGCCACTAGATTTTGCAAGTCGCAAGGTCTTACTAACTGGGAGGAAAAACTCGAGGAGGATGTCAAATCTAGACGCCATCGTCTGTCCTCCTCTTCTTGCCATCGATGTCGCCACTGTCATTTATCTCCTCTTCCTTGCTGCCCTTCTTCTTTCCCGACCACTAGACTGTCGGATCCGATGGCCATGAGCTCAAGGCTGCTAATTTTGACCATGAACTAGCGATGATGGCAAGTGGAGACGTAGAAAAGAGGCGGAGGGAGACCTTATAAAACATGAGGTAAATTAACTAAATCCATTTATTAAAAAAAACCTTGTGTTTACATGTTTTTCCTCACAGCATAAATCAAACAACATCTCATACCATTGTGATCTAAAAGATACAACCAAGAGTCTTGTCAACGTTTGATGTCGCGATTCCGGTATTTGCATAGTATGGGGATCATTGGTACTATCATATATGCGAGATTGTAGTAAAAAAGATGGGGACAAGGATTTTTATACAGGTTCGGGCCCCTGAATTGTCAGGTAATAACCTTACTCCTATTGGCCGAAGCTGGTCGTTGCTCTTATTCACCATAATCATACCAGTACAATATTTGGGGTAGCCTATCTAACTGTTGTCGACTTGGCGGTCTGAAGTGCTGATTCGTAGTCGACAACAGGGTAGCCTTCCTCCTCGAATTTGCATCCGGCGAGATCAAAGATAGCGTTATGTCTCTCCTGACGGTATCCGTAGGCACCGTAGGGGACTAGCCATGCTTATCTCTGAAGTCGATATTCGGCGTCTTGTCTTGACGAATATTGGCTTGTATATTGATCTTGTGTCTTGATCTATTGTTTCGTGTCCCCTCTCCTCCTAGGGGGCCTTGTATTTATACCCATAGATGTCCCCTTGTCCAAGTAGAACTAGGGAAACCAATATGGATACAATTCAAGTAGTCCTTGTCGTTTTCATGTAGAACTCTATTCATCATTCCTTATGCGGAACTCCTTCTATATTCAAAGTTGTTTTCGTATAAGACATGGTATGTGGCGGGTCCTGCCGAGATTTAGTCAACTACTATTAGGTATGTGGTATCCATAACCCTGACAAGTCTATTTTTTCCTCAACTCCAAAATTTAACTTTCTTATTTTCCTTTAGCACATTTTTCAAACTGTTAAATAATGCATTTTTTTAAAAAAAAAATCTATATAAAAGTAACTTAAAAAAGCAAATAAATTTATTTTCAAGTTATTGAAAGAGCATCTATGCCCCTAGTGGGTTTTGGTTTATTGATGACAAACGATTAAGGGACTAATGCACTTATGGAGTGTATAAGCAAGTGATTAGTCCGATGAAGAAACTAGGAAATGGACTTATCGATGGATGAGAATTAAAGAGAAGATATTGAAGATGCGGGCATGAAGTGACTACCTATGGCAAGACGGTGAAGCGCAAGTGACGCTCAGTTGCGATGGACCATGCGGTGGTGAAGGGCAAGCAAGGGGCTTGGCGCCGACGAACCGAAACCGGTGGTGAAGGGCAAGTGAAGACTGTGTCGTGATGAACCGTGCGAGGCCATTTGAAGCCATGGATTATCCACATTAATCATTTGAGAAATGGAAGATGAACTGTCAAAGATCAAGAAGATGAGATCTTCCTGATGATCAAATGACTTTGACGTTGGTAACCCTCCAAGTGAAGAATCAATATGGTGTGAAGGTACTCCTATTGGTATAACTTTACTTTTTAAATTTGAGTTTAGGATGCCGTACTATTAAGAGGGATACCACATGCATATAATTGGTTGAATACTAGTGCTCAAAATGCTTCATGTTTGTGTGAGTTGAAAAACCTAAGCCAAAATTTTTAATCCCGAGTGGTTTCACTTGTCACAACACTTACACCGGGTTTCTTTGCAAGTTTTTCAACATCTCTTGAAGGTTTTGGACCATGTTTTATGTTGGGTTTGATAGCCCATGAAACTAGCTTTCCATAGAGTCCAAGATCTTCGAAATCGGAGTTCGGAGTAAAAAGTTATTTCATTTTTACTTGAGCAACATCAGACTATCCGATTTGAAATCAGACTATCCGATGTATCGGACTATCCGATTTTTCACAGAACTTCACTCTCTGTCTTTGTTTAAAAAATTCTTTTGAGTGAGTTTTTCTAAGTGTCGGAGTATCCGATGTTGGATCAGATAGTCCGATGATACAGAGACTACGAAATTTCATGGAACTTGAGTCTCTGTTTGAGAACGAAGTTTTCTGCTTCAAAAATATCAGATACTCCGAGCAGGATGGTAGGATGGCTCATGCCTTAATGTGATCCGAGTGGCTTCTCCAAGCAGAGATGTTGACCTGCAGAACATCTCAGAAGGAACACACCTATATGAGTTCAACTGCTAGTCACAGTCTATGAGGTTTGGGCGATCACTAGATACTCATGAAAGGCCTGGAGTTTGACTTATATGCTCCAAACAGAGGGGATGCGAACGGCAGCCCAGTACCAGTCAAGGTTCTGAGTGAAACCTGATCACACAAAACTGACAATTCAAGGCATAGTCCATTGTTCAGTTGTGGTCTGATGTAGCTCATTTCCTAGGTGGAAGTTCAACTTAACAGTCTCCACCAAAACCCTGGTATATCAAACAGGCACAACATTGAGAACATTTCTTATGAGCCTTGAAACTTGGTGGGGATTGTTAGAATAATTGGGCTAGGCCCAACTTATCCTATTAAATCTCAAAGGCCCATAATAAGTGTTAAGGATAATAATACCACCTCAGGATTTAAGCGAGGAATATCTCAACCTAAATAGGGAGTTATTGGAGGCCCCCTGTTGACTGGTTGAGGTGGAGGTCGGAATGCCACACGCGCGCGCGCGCCAGGCCGAGGCCGTGGGCGTGGGCGTGGGCGAGGCGTGGCGTGCCTGGCTGGCGGCGGCGTGCGTGCGTCACGTC